TCCCCGCCGAGCAGGGAGCCCGCCGCGGGACTCGATCCAGGGACTCCAGGATCATGACCTGAGCCGAAGGCAGTCGCCCAACCAACTGAGCCACCCAGGCGCCCTGAGGATGCTTTTATGTCTACTAGAATATGAACAGTCTGTGAACGTCAGAAATCAGCCACACAGCGCTAGCCCAGAGCTTTCTCCACACTGTTTTCTTCTTTATGGAGTTAAAATATATTGAACTTGACATCCTCCAGTGTGTGAACTTTGGACAGCCCAGGGAGGCAGTCACACTTTGTTATGAGCTCATGCCACCTTATGAATACTTCCTTCCCATGGTTCTTGTCATCAACTCATTTAAACACAGTTGACCTTTGAACAACATGGGCTTGAAGTGCATGGTCCACTTATATGCAGATTTCTTACAGGACAGTGCTGTGAATGTATTTTCTCTTATGATTTTCTTAATGACATTGTCTTTTCTCTAGCTGACTTTACACTAAGAATATGGCATATAATACACATAACATACAAAGTATGTGTTAACCGACTGTTCATGCTATCAATAAGGCTTCCAGTGAAAAATAGGCTGTTAGTAGTTAAGTTTTGGAGAAGTCAAAGGTTATACAGGGATTTTTGGCTACCCCAGGGGGCAGTGCCCCAACCTCGCATAGTTCAAGAGTCAACTATAATTTTTAAAAAGGCTTACATGTTTGTGGATAAAAATAAACGTGGCTAGAAAGCAGCTTTGCTTGGAATAAATAGATGGTTAAACTCTATCTCTGGTCTCTCGCCTGACAAATCTCTGAGCCTAATGTCTGGGTCTGAGTCTCTTCCTGTTAAAAGTGAGAGTAGTAGATGAAGAGGCATTAAAGACCTATCAGCACTGAATGGAGACATTCTCATGGACTATTTCAGAACGACAGAGGGAAATAGCAGGGAGTAACTTTCTCATTCACTCAGCAACCGTGTGCGTGTCTGTCAAAGCACAGATGTGAGCACACAGTAGGCAATGATCTCTAATGTTATGTCTGTATAGCCCCTAAAGACCTCAGGATCCGTGTAAAATCAGTGGGCGGCCCATGCCCCAAAGTCTAGAAACACCTCTATAGTTGTCAGGAGAACAGGCACTTTTAATATCTAAGCATTGGAGGCTGTTGTGAGGACAGGGGATATAATCAAGTGCCCGTCCGTGCCTGCTACATCGATGTCACCATCATCCTCGTGGTTGTCGCTATAATTTCAGGGAGACAGCCACCGGCCCCTATGGCGATCCAAGAGAAGACGGGTTATTACCACCCTGGAACTGGAGGAGGACGATCAAGGACCCTTTCCCAAACTTGCTGGGGAGGTGAGGAAGGCCCCCGCCACCCTCTCTGACTAGGCACGCCCCCTTTGGCAGGAGGACCGAGTCTTGAAGGGCTACGTGCTCGGGAGGCCAGGGAGTGCCGTGGGAGGAGGAATGCTGCCCTGGGTTCTAGAACCCACTCTACCTCTACCTGACTGGGGGGCTTCGGGCAAGTCACTTCATGTGAGCGTGTGCCAAGAACATCAGTCCCATGGGACAAGCCCTGCTTTATTTGGCCCATGCAAGCGTATTATTTAAAAATAAGGAGATGGTGGTTACCAGAGACTGGGAGGTGGGGGCAGAAGGGAGATTAAAAAAATAAATAAATAGGAAAAGCAAAGCTGGGCTGCCAGGGCTGGCAGGGAGGAGGTCATGAGGGCTTATTGTGTGAGGGGGACAGAGCGTCAGTTTGATAAGATGACACGAGGTCTGGTCACGGATGGTGGTGGTGGTCACCCAACAGTGTGAGTGTGCTTAGTCCCGCCTGAATGCACACTTCAAAATGAGGAAGGTAGTAAACTTTATGTTGTGTGTATTTTACCACAAGGAGATGGAAACGACAGGACGATTGTAGTAGAAATTCTGTACTTCTAGCGGCTTTCTGAAAGTTGGAAGATCTGCCCACAGGGAGCCTACGTTCCCACATGGCAACAACTGGATGGGGCTTGAGTTTCCCACAGTCCCCCCACTCCCTGTCGTCTCCCTCCCTCTGAGGTCGAAGCCGTCACGTGATCATGTTGGGATGCTGGAATTTTTGCACGTGGCCATGTCATTCTTTCCATGACACTCCTGACCCGATGGACCTGTGAATTACATGCTGAGTGACTAGATCCCTACAGCATTGACATCCAACGATTTCTGGACAAAGAAATTAAAATAATTTATATTTTTGCAGTGTTTATAAAAATAGTAGATGCCTGCTATAAAAAAAATACAGAAAGTTTTCAAGGCTCAGTGGTTGAAATGATCTACTCCTAAGAGTCTGGGGGACGCGGTGGGCTCATACCGCAGACGCAACACACCCTTGCTGCCTCCAGGAGTCCCATATCCTTGCTGTTTCCCCACCACGCGGTGCTGTCAACAACAGTACCTACATTATAGGGTTGTGTTAAAGATTAAATAGGCTAGGGCAAGTAAGGCATGGCTCATTCTAAGCCCTTTCTAAATGTTAGCCGCGCGAGGGTTCCTCCTCTCTCCCTGAAGGGATCACCTGTATTAACACATCGGTGTGTACTCTTTCAGATATTTCTCTATAGTCTGACCAAGGTGAGTCCATATTGACAACATGGGTTCGCACTACATCTATCGTCTGCAAGTTGCCTTTCTGGTTTCCCAGTGAGGCATGGCCCCCTTTGTGGGGCAAAGCCTGTAAGTCCTAAAGACTGGGGGCCCCTGCCCCATGAAGGGGGTACTGCACTAGGATTCTTTCCCTTGGGAAGGACATGTGCGTTCTTCCCACTTGTTCCCTGTGACAAACCTCATTCCCGCCTCTTTGCATGTCTGTTTCTTTTGGATAAACCCTCAGATGAGCGATTGCGAGGTGTGGTGCTTTAAAAATACCTTGAATCCTAGCCTGGATATTTGGCATGCCTTGTGGTTTATTCTCATTCTCTTCTCCCCCCCCCCATTGTTTTTTCCCTTGTAGCTGTTCAATGATGTGTCTCATAACATGTCATTAATATATTTAATCAGTGGACCTGGTGTGGATGAATATCCGGAGATTGGTTTGTTTTCTGTAGAAGATCACAGGAATGGATGAGTGTATGTTCACCGCCCTGTCGATCGAGAGACAACACCGTCTTTTACGGTACCTAACATTTGATATATTCTCAGCTTGGATTTATTGTAAAGTTGTTGCGGGACTATTGTATTTGGCAAGCATTAGTTAAGCTGCCCACGTGCCATGCCGTGGGAGACTGCACATTACACACTGTGGCAAGCTTTAAAAGCATGCATGAGCAGGGAGGCTAATTTTGTAACGTTCTTTTAAAGTTCTGGACTCTGTGATGATGTATGTGAGCCACTAGATCTTCCTTCTAATGACCGGATTCCCAGCACCATCTGGATATCCGAAAGCATTTGGGGATAGGGCTATAGGATGTTTATAAAATGGCCTAATTTGGTTTTGAGTCACAGTTGAAATGTGTGGACAGAAGCTACAAGCAGACCCCACAGTTGCCTAACACCTGATGAACAAGCAATTACGTACCGGTGTTGGTTTGTTCTTGTGACTCCCCATGTTCTTTAGGATCTCCTAACCCCAACACCATGGTCTACTCTGAATTTGAAATCCAGGTTCAAAACCAGGAAAGGAAGCGATAAAGTAAAATGCCTAAGCCATGGTGGTGTATTAGGCTACCAGCCTCACCTTATAGGGGATGCTCAGGATGCTATATAGCCTTTGTTGTTTTGACTCCTGCTGGGAACTGAGCTTGGTTCTCGGGCCTGCTTCGTGGTACATTAACTTCTTCAGGGTGGGAAAGAACACCTCAAAGAAGTAATTTATATACCTTTTCTCCAATGACCTCAAAATATTTATATACATAATAAAATGGATGCCCTTAACTCATTGATAGGCTCTGAATCTCTAGTTTTTAAGCAGGGAGAAATTCTCCCCAAACTCCAGAAGTCATGCAGAGATGACTCTGCAGGTCTTCACTATATTCACATAAACCCCTGCCTCATCTAGTGAATGTGCAATGTCTGTTAGACAGAAGGAACATAGAGCGATGTGAGGGGACCCTGGGCAGCCCTGCTAAATCTTGAGTGAGCAAACAGATCACCAAGGGATCTTGTAAAAATGCAGATTTGTTTCCGTAAGTCAGGGTGGAGCCCGAGACTCTGCATCTCCAGCCAGCTCCCAGGAGAGGGTGCTGCGCTGGCCCTTGGCTGCCACGTGCTGAGTGCGGAGGGTCCAGAGGGTCCGGGACAGATAGTAGTGGGGGTGACACGAGTCACCAAGGACGGAGCAAAACATTTCGTGCTTGTGGTCTTTGTTTTGTTGTTGTTTGGTTGCTGTTGTTTGCTTTTAACAACTTCACTGACATTTCAAGGGTTGGCTTTCACGAGGTTTAATATGGGACTTTTTGCTGGAAGCTGATAATGCCTAAGCAAAATCCATGAGAGTGTTTTCTGACACATGAGGCCCAAGTGGAAAAGCTTGGCATGTCACACAGAGGTCCCAGGGAACAGTTAGAGCAAGCGGGAAAAATGTGGGAACATGAGTGGCCTCCCCGTGGGTCCTGCCCCGTCAGGATTTCCAAACCTTGTGTTTGGACCTGCTGGGTGAGCTCAAGCCCGAGATCTGATCCCCCCAACCGTTATCACAGCCATCGTTTTACACCAAACTCTACAATCACTTGCTAGCTAGCCCGTCATTTGACTGTGAACTTCCACGAGGGAAGACAGGGTGGGGATTTGGAGGTGTGCCCCCACCCGTGGCTCGTCTCATGTCCCTGGTTTACTGTCTCCTTATTACTTCTCACCACCTGAACTGTATGCCTGAAATGTGTTTGGTTCTCTGTGGGTGGTCAATCTCCCCACTAGAACGCATTTCCCCCGAGTCAGGAATAGGGCTCTGCACGTTGTGGGTTTTCAGTCAATTATGTTCCATGAATGAATGAGCACAGCAGAATGTAGTCTCTGCTTCCAGGGTGTTGTGGGTTGAATTGTGCCTTCCAAAAAGATGGGTTCAAGTCCTACCCCTGGTACCTGTGAATATGACCTTATTGGGATATAGGGTCTTTGTAGATGTCATCAAATTAAGGTGAGGTCATACTGGATTAGGGTGACTGGCATCCTTATAAAGGGAGGGGGATTTGGACACAGAGGACAGAGGGGAGAAGGCTGGAGACAGAGACGGGTGTGATACATCTGTAGGCGGGGGACACCAGGATTGCTGGCAGCCCCCAGCAGCTGGGGGAGAGGCTCAGAGTCTCCAGAGGAAACCAAGCCTGTTCTAGTTTCCAGAAGCGTGAGAGAACACATTTTGTTGTAAGGCACCTGGTTGTTGCAGCAGATATAGGAAACTAGCAAGCAGGGGTTACCATACTTGCTAGGAAGACAAGAAACAGGCTGATGAGAAGGATTACCAGCTGTGAAAAGTGGGCTAAGCAGGAGTCACAGAAACACCACACAGGCCAGGCCTTCAGGCTCAGCCACCTGCTTCTGCAGAAGGATGCTTGCTACCGGGTTTTGGCCGCGCATAAAGCCAGGATGTATTAGAAACGAAGTCAGCCCGAGGGTTGGCCAAAAGGCATTCCCAGTAGCACTGCTGTGTTCTTGGGGAAGAGTGAAGGAGTCACGAGAATTAGCCAAAACATATAAAAACTTGTGTTTGGGAGGTGGGGGTGGGGTGGGGAGGGCTGACTTCTTGTTAATTCCGTAAGCCTGCAAAGAATGCAGTGTCACCAGCTGAGAATTGCCGGAAGATTTAAGACACAGCTGGAAAGGGGAAAAGTCTGACTTTTTCTGTGTAGGAGTCTCGTCTGTTTATATCAAAATATGCTCAATTTCATCGGATACAAATACACTCAGGAAAGTCATTCTTTTTTTTTTAAGATTTTATTTATTTATTTGACAGAGAGAGACACAGCGAGAGGGGGAACACAAGCAGGGGGAGTGGGAGAGGGAGAAGCAGGTTTCCCGCCGAGCAGGGAGCCCGATGCGGGGCTCGATCCCAGGACCCTGGGACCATGACCTGAGCTGAAGGCAGACGCTTAACGACTGAGCCACCCA